CTCTCAGGCAGAAGATGCATGGGGTACCCGCTAGGACCGCATAATCTCCACACAGAAGATTCTACACCAAAAAACAAATAGACAAGGAAAAACCTTGGTTTCCAGCTTCTCTTGAAAAGTCAGAATTCTGGCACCACGGGGCCCTCACGCTGATGGGGCAGCAGCTGGTGGGAGCCAAGAAGCTGTAGGTTGTCAAACCGAGTGTGCACTCCATGGCCCCACATAGTCCCCACCACTCCCTAATGTCTTTCATGTGGCTTGTCCTCTCATTTGCACCACCTGCCTGTCACCATGGGTTTTCAGTTTGACCCCAGCACCTTCCAGCCTACCCTCACCTGGTTGGAAGAGCCCTGCTGCCCCCTGGTGGTCCCAGTTCGCACCTACTTTGATTTTGATTGCCATCAACCCTAACCCTAACCCCATAGTGCACTGCAGTGATACATCCACCATGCAAACTGTCTCATTCCATCCTCTCACCAACCCAAGCAGAAATTGTCATGCCCATTTTACAAATTAGAAATTACTGGAAAGAAAACAAACAGCAAAGCTAAGTGTTCAGGATCCCATTTCTCATGATGTTGCCAAGAGTGGAACCCCCTATCCAGAGGATGTTAGGCTCTGCCCTGCCATGACAGGCCCTAAATGACTCTTCCACATCAGAAGAGAAGTTCCTGGTGGAGGGAGCTAGGGATCCCTTGAGATACGCCAGAATTCTACAGTGCGTATTACTGGGTCCAAGTGGGGAGGAAAGGCGAGGGCTCTCATCAAACTTCTCCATGTATGGAAACCGTGGTAAATGCATTTTCTACTTACTGGTGGTCAAGTAGGCCTTGCCTCCAGGTTTTGTAAGGCCAAGAACTGAGCATTTTTCATGCAACCACCTGCCTCCTGGGCCTGAGAAGGCCTCTGACCTTTTCCTTTTCTAGACTTACCCACAAGGCCAAGCACCTGCCATACCTCCTTCTACCCACCTCAGCCTTCCCAAATCTTCCCCTTGACAGAGACCCAAAGCCTGGCCCATAGCACCCCTCTGGGGCTGAGGACCTCCTTCCTTGTAGGACCAGATAACTGCTTGACGCTTGTGCTCTCTAGCCAGACAGGGAATTCCCTGAAGGCAGGGTGTTGGCGTTCCCATCCCATATTCTCTGGGATGTTACTCAAGGTGTGTGACAAAGAAAGGCTTAGGGATGTTCCAGGATGAGTCAAAGATTCCTACCTTCATGGAGCATGCAGTCATCTGTGGGCACAATAAGCATGTAGACAGAGCCCAGTGATCTTCCTAAAATACCACCCTGAGCACATACTCCTCTGCTTCAAACCCTTTAGTTTCTCCCCACTGCCTTCAGAACTGGCCTCTCTAACCACACCTGCCAACCCCTCTGCATATACCCTGCTTTCTAGCTCTTAGCATCTCAGTTTCCTGATGTGCCACATTTGTTGTCACCTCTGCATGTGCCCTTCCTGCCACCTTCACCTAACTTGAGCCACCCTTGGGTCTCAGCTTGGGTATCCCTTCTTCCAGGAGGCCTTTTTTTGGCTACCAAGTTTGAGTCAGAGGCAGGCCCATGCCTGAGCTGTCATGGACCTGCTGCCCCATCCTAAAGCTTACACCACCTGTAACTGTTGACTTGTCTGTCTCCCCTGCTGGACTGTGGGCTCTGGGAGGACAGGGCCTCTTCTGTCTGATTTCTTTTCTTTTCTTTTTTTGAGACAGAGCCTCAAGCTGTCCCCCTGGGTAGAGTGCTGTGGCATCACAGCTCACAGCAACCTCCAACTTTTGGGCTCAAGCGATTCTCCTGCCTCTGCCTCTCAAGTAGCTGGAACTACAGGCACCTGCCACAGCACCCGGCTATTATTTGTTGCAGCCATCCTTATTGTTTGGCGGGCCCAGGCTGGATTTGAACCCGCCAGCTCCGGTGTATGTGGCTGGCACCTTAGCTGCTTGAGTCACAGGCACCGATCCTGATTTCTTGCTGTATTTTCAGAAGCTCCAGCCAACTCCTAGAGGCATGAAGAGTGTGCACGCTTGTTAAATGAAAACATACAAGGTGCCACTCTTATATTTAGCAGGTGCCCAGGGAACAAATGGCATGTTGGTGCATCTGACTATCCAACAGAGTCACAAAAATTCTGTAGACATTTACATCTTTGAAGTCCTTTATTCCCAGCAATTCACATCAGTTAGTGAGTAAGCCCCTGTCATATAAACCAAGAATTCATTTATTTTTCTTTTGATATTGTAATCTTGTCCTCATGTTCAAAACTGTGTTGGAGCCCAAAGAATTTAAAACAGGGGTCCTCAAGCTTTTTAAACAGGGGGCCAGTTCACTGTCCCTCAGACCGTTGGAGGGCTGGACTGCGGGCCCC